TGGGGGCGGAGGGAGGGCGGAGGCTCGGTGGGGAACGGCGTGGCAAGGGGCAAACCCTCCGCTGTTTTGCAGGGAGGTAAAGCCTGTAAACAGCGGCGGCAGCAGCGAGGGGGCGAGAGGCAGGCAGCTGTTTCAAGAAGTTGTTAGTCAATTACAGCACCGCCGGGTGGATCTGCAGGTATTTGGTTATGCCTCAATGCTAGGGATACAAAATTCCATTTAATTGATTAACTGATTAAACATGTTGTTTAACCAATTAATGGATAAAAGGAGACTGTGGGAGGGGGTCACTCCAGGGTCGTACTGGCTGGAGTGGTCCCCCACCTACCGCTGGGCTGGAGCAGTCCCTTGCCTGTACTGCAGGGCATCCTGCAGGCAGGAATTTTCTGGCCACCCCTGCCTGGGGCAGGCCCACCTGCAGGGCTGAAACAGGTGGGGAGCTCCTCCAGCCTCCACCAGTTAACCTTAAACAGCAAAACTTTCATATCCCTGCTCAGTGCAGCCCTCCTCTTCTGTCATTCACATTAAACACTTTCAAACAGATTAGTTTTTGCCTTCTAAGTATCTAATATTTAATGAGACTGTCGGACGAGAAGTTTAGCTATTGCAACTTGCTGCCATAGGCAGGTGAAACAGCCTTGCCATTTCTTTAGAATTTGTTTCTAAAACATACTATGAGAAACTTTTTGGGGAAAGTAATATGTGCTTTCCTGGATGTCTGTTAAGCTATCCAACAAAAAAAATTTTATCATGCAACTAAGAGACCATAAAATGGAATAGAATAGAAACACAAATAAAGATAATTTTAAAGACTCCTCATCAATTTTTCTCCCACGATTCTCTCACCGCTGAAGATTAAGCAATCTTTGGAAAACAGGGACCACGTTCTCTCTTTGTACACTGGACTTCTCAGAAGAAGAGAAACAAAACATGCACGACCAGTTTGAGTTTCAGAGAGAAACAAACATTCAAGCCTGTTTACAGCTCAAGCATTTTTCTGCGAGCACCACCAACCAAGAACCTTTCCTTCTCCTAGGGTTGTATTTTCATGTGGCTGGTTGGTTTTCTTGCTGCCTCTGAATCTCTGCCAGTTCATTTTTTGCCTTCCCAGCTACTTGGTCAGAAAAACAGTACATAGTAGAACCACCTGCCCATATGGCCATATTTTCTCAGAAAATTCCATTTTGCATTTTATGTAGGCCTCTTTAATTTTGCCTTGTAGCAATCTTAAGCGAAGGACATGTTCACATACCAAATTCAACAAGGTTTTAACTCCACCCAGGTATTAAAGGAACTTACATTTCTTACAGGTACTGTCCTATAGCATGCCGGTTCCCTGCCAGTTCTTTAAATAGCTCTCTGCTGGCTTTTGCCACAGCTTAGCCAGTTCTTGCTGGAGCTGTGCACTAGCGTGCACCCCCCTTACTTTCACCTCTGACTCCACCCATAACAAGGTATATCCCATTTTACAACTGTAATAATATTTCCAATCCTAAATATTCATACTCATGAGTCAGAACCTCCAAATCATTTGTTTTTTAAATCCTGATTTATTACTACATGTCCCCAGAAAAGGGGACCAAAGCCTGAGCCCACCTGAGTCATACTGCCCTGGGCAGGTGGGGCAAAACCCAAGAGTTTCAGCCCCAAGGGGTGGAGGGAGCCTGTAACCTGAGTCCTACTACCCAAGGCTGAAACACTCAAACTTTGGCCCCAGGCAGTGGGACTTGGGTTTGGGTCCAAGGCCCAGCAAGTACTCGAACCTCTTTAATCTGGCAACTCTGGGAAATAGGGTATGCTGGATTAAAGATTTTGCTGGGCCAGAGAGGACACTGCGGGATCTGGACGTGAGGGGATGAGAATAGGGTGCTTACCTGCTGCCCTACTCCCAGGGGCACATGAAGCTCCATACTCCTCACCGCTTTTAGGCACCACCCCTTGCCATTATGGGAACAGAGGGCAGAAGCATCAGGGTAAGTGGCCCAGCATGCTGCTGTTCCCTCAACGGGTGGGAGACGATGTGGCAGTTCACAGAGCCAGTTTCTCCTCTGTACCATAGATGTTCCTGGATGACGGACACCCAGAATACAGAGGTTCAAGTGTATAACATCTGTCCTGGTGACCCCGTTAAAAGGGGGTCATGATTCACTTGGGGGGTCCCAACCCATATTCTGAGAACCGCAGACATAGGCATGAGTTATATGGATCCGTGCTGCCCAGACACCAGAAAGATTCCTGGTCACGGGTCAGGCTCCACTAAATTCAGAGCTGAGTTTTTCGCAAGGCCCTGCCTGCAACCTCTCTCACATCCTCCTGGCCCATTTGCCACCCCCAGACAATTTAAAACTGCCCAGGAGCTCCTGCCATTAACACTGTCAGTGTAGTGGGGCTAGTGCTCATTCTATACAGTTGCCGGCATGTGTGTGTGGCCCCAGGGGTGGATGAGAGTTTTGCGGGGCCCAGGGCAGCACAATTTCTCCAGGCCCCCCTTTGGAGAAAAAAATGGAAAAAAGGCATCAAATGCACAAATTGAAGGCTATTTTCATATTAAATGTGAATTGGGTAAATTTGATAGAAAATTAATTTAGTTGGATAATTTTTATTCTAATTATATTGTAATTCATTTTTAAACAAAATTCTGCATTAATAAAAAAAGAGGGGGATGTCCAAATGTTGAGCAAAAAAAGTCACCCCCCGCCACAAAAAAAAAATCATGGCACCTTTAAATCTCACACTCTCCACCCCATTCATGGCAGAGCAAGAATGTCCCAACTGGCTTTCCAGTTGAGAAAAACTGAAAATACCGGACATTTTACTGGTCCGGTATTTTCTGGGGGTTTACCACCTGATAGAAGCCACAAATACTGGACTGTCAGGGCCAATACCAGACACCGGGCAACCCTAGTCATAACTCGCGCCTGCATTTACAATAGGCCAAGGACATAAGTTGGGGGATTTTGGCCTCTTCCCCACTTCGGAAAAAGGTCATAATGGTGATGGCAGGGGGAGGATCGTAAAGCGGGCTGTTATAAAGCAGGGGCCTCTGTATTTGTGGCAGGAGTGGGAAACCTCTCTTGGGTTAGGGGACACTGACTCTACAGAAAAATCAGCTGGGGATCACACAAACGGGCTGGGGACCAGCAGGCCTGGAGCGGATCTGGCCAGGGGTTTGGACTGTGCCCCAAGGCAGGGGATTGGGGTGCAGGGTCTGGGAGGAGGGTTATGTGGGTGAAAACGTGGGAGTGGTGGGGGGGCCAGACACTTACCTAAAAGCGTTGCTCGGCGGTTTCTCCCATAGGAGCTGCCTGGCCATGTGCTGGGGGATTAAAAGCCTGAGGGGAGCGGTGATTGGTGGGTTCCCGCAGCTGCCATTGTCCAGGTCCAGCCAATGGGCTTGTGCGGGGGGGCGGAAGCAGCCCTGAGGGACCCTCCCCTGCCGGTTCACAGCTCCTGCACCACAAAGGGCCCCGCCGCGCTGTTCTGTTCTGTTTTGCGTGGGGGTGGGACTGTTGCTGCCTTGCGGCCAGACCCGACCAGCATGGGGCTTGCGCGGGCTGCCTGTTGCAGTGGGGGCAGGGCTCGAGCTTCCAAAGCGCCACGTTGGGCTCCCTCGCGGGCCCCAGGCTGCCGATCCTGCTCTAAGCAGGGAGGATGAGAGGTTAAAAACACCGGCGCCAGCGCGGGGCCTATTAAAGCACGGGGCCTGGGGCAGCCGCCCCGCTCGCTCTGCCCTATATGTGCCACTGTGTGGCCCTGTGTGGCCCCTGGGTGGGGGGGAGGGGGGAGGAGAGAGATGTAGCAGCGCACAGATCATGGAGCAACACACCTTCCCCTTCCTTGGCCAGAGTCTGCACACAACATCCATACTTCTTCCTGGAGGTTGCACCTCTTATCCCTGCCTGCACCCACATCCCCTACTGCACCAAACTCCCTCCCATAGCCTGAATTCCTACCCCTTGCCCCAGCCCAGAGCTAGCACCCAAGCAAGATAAAGGAGTTGACAACTCTATTATATAAATACATAGTAGGAAGCATACTCTATCCTGAATTGTTTAGAAACCAGTCAGACACAGAGGAGTTGGAAGCACAGGAATACACATGCATGGAAAGGTAAAGTGATTTGTCCAAAGCCACAAAGTAGGTCAGTGGCTGAGCCAGAAATAAAACTCAGGCATCCTGATTCCTCATCCTTGCCCTCTCTCCGCCCAACCCTTGCTATAACCCTGGGGATAGAGAAGGGAGAAGCACTGAAACTAGGTTTACGTTACTCGTAATTTCTCTGGCCCAACACCAAGGCAATTATGACCCAGTCCAACTCCAGCCCACGGGCAGATCTGTGCGCATTGCCTGCTGGGAGTTGTAGGCTTAATCAGACTACAAATCCCAGTGAACCTCGCAGCAGAGAGTGGCCGCCCAGCCCGATTCCCCGCCTCTTTGTCATTGTCATTGGTTTCAAGTTATGTCTCTGAAACGCGATTGGCTAAGGAGGCTTGTCTGTCAACAAGCGGGCACAGGAGGGGTTGGGATTTTACAGTTAGGCGAGGGGTGGGCGTGGTCGTGGTCGTGGTCGTTGAAGGATGGCGGGGAGGAGGAGTAGGCGGGCGGAGCCCCGGGCACAAGGGGGCGGGGCCTGTGTAGCTCGCTCTGGCTCCTGCGCTGGGTCTATCCGGCGCCGAGCTACCCCTGCCCGAGCGCCCTGCAGTCCCCGGGACGCGACTGTCGCGCTGCCCGCGCCTTGCCCTGGAAGCGGGAGCCGGGAGTCGCCCGCACCCCGAAGCCGAGCCGCCTGCGCCGGGACGTGGGAATCTCCCCGGCTGTGCGGCGATTGCAAACACGCCGCCCTGCCCCTCTTCCCTCCCCGTCGCTGCCGCCGCCGGACCCCGCGGGAAGAGGGGCCGACCAGGCTCCAGCCCGAACAAAGCTTCATACCCCCCTCGCCTGCCGGCTGCCGGCCCGCGCTGCCATGGTGGGGGGAGGCCGGGCCCCCCGGGCCCAGGCGGGGGCCGTGGCGGCTCTAACGGCGAGAACTTCGACACCGCGGGGGACGCCCGCGGGCTGGGGGTGCCCTCCATGGGCTGGGCCCGGGCTTTATTGTTCATCTCCAACCGCTGTTGCTGCTCCTGCACCACGAGGCAAAGTTGGTGAAGGTTGGGGCGCCCTGGAGCCGAGGGAGGATGGAGGAGAGAGAGGGCGAGGTGAGGTGGGATGGGTTGTGCAGCAGGGATGCCAGCACCAGAGATGCTGCCTTGGAAAACATCCGGCAGGCTGTTTTGAGGAGAACAGCCCAGGTGTCACCTGTAAAAGAGGATCTTCCTCCTGGGCCATCGGAAGGATGCTTGGCTTCTGCTACAGTTCCGGACAGATTGAATGAGATGCTGGCTCGCCTCCTCATGCTTTCCCAGAGATGCCCCTTTAGAAACGTCAGGGAGAAGAGTGAGTCTATTCTAAGCAGTGTTCAGGTAAGAGTCCCGGTGCCTCTTCCAACAAACAGCCCTCCTATTTCTTATCTCTGAAGCAGCTTAGAGTACCTCATATTTTTAATAGGCGTTATCTTGATGTAGAAAACAGTATAAAGATATAGTGCCTCTTCAGCTGTATCACAGGAAAGCTTTCGTTTTTGAACTGTACTCTCTAGAGTCTAGACTGTATTGTGGTGTTCAGTTCAGACTGATCACGTTAATATTAAACTGGCAGTAGAGCTAGTTTCTGAAGAACTTTATATAATTTGTCCTGAGACATAACTAACCAAAATACTGGCAAAGTTTATCTGTCAGAGGAGTGCATAACATCGATAAGGAAGTAATCTGCTTATAAAGAAGTAAGTGGTGTCCTCAGACATAATCAGCTCCCTTTGCAAGTGAATTCCTGTGCAAATTTTCACAATGAAATATGGGTTTATTGTTGGGGCACAAGTACATTCAGGAGAGCATATGCCCAAATTGTTATTTTAATATAATTGTCAGGTGTTACTAGGGTTGTGACTAAGTCAGTCTTATTAGTATAAAATCAAGACAGATTGTGTTGTCTGAGGCCAGAGACCCTGAAGAAAAAATGCAGCAAATGGCTCATGGATCCTGGCCCAGCCTATACTGCATTGCTTGGCAGCAGCACAGGGTTGCTGTGGCTATTTCAAGGGTTCACAGGTCTGGCCCCTGTCGGGGTAGCACCGCAGCCATAGTCACAGCAACCTCAGGTGGTTCCCAGGCAATGGGTAGCAGCGGGGCTGGGAGTTGCAAGACCTTTAAATTAGGTGTGTAATTGAGTAATAGACGATTAACCACTAAGCCTAGGCTTAGTGGTTAATTTTCCTGACTACTCGCATTCTACCCTCTTGTTGCCTCTGTTGATCCCACCTGGCACCCCATGCTGCTGCCTTGAGAGAGTCAGCTTCATGGAGTGGCAGGGGACTCGCTTGGAGTGGGACTGGAAAGCACTAGCTGCCAGCCCTGCCCCAGGACTATAGAGTAGTCAAGTAACCAATAAGAATTCATGCGGTTACTCGAGTATTCTGTCACTTGCTATCTAACATCCCTACTTTAAATAGCAGCAATTTACGAGACTCACAGCTCCAGCCCCTACCAGACTAGGACTGCGACCAGGTGCTATGAGCCATTTATATGGTGGCACTGGCAGCAGGCTATAACTAGAAAGTGGCCAGATGCAGTCTGCAATCCAGATCCAAGTATTAGGTGGGCCAGATCTAGGACCTGGGACGCATCTTGCCCAGCCCTGAACTTGTCTATGCAGGAAATCTGTGGTAGTGCTGGGTGTAGAACCTATATCTCCGTCTGTTTTTTTTTTCTCCTTTGTCTCTTGCATTCATAAATTTTTATTAATTTAATTGCAAATTAAAATACAATCCAAAACCATATTCTAGGTTATTTTCAGTTGGTTATAGTTTTGTTTTTGTTTGCACTAAGAAGTGAATCTTGTTTTAGAGATTACAAGAGGAGGAAAGTTTTCTTTTACCCTTGGAAAAACTTTTCATTCGTGTAATTATGACATGGAGATCTCTTTTGCATATAGACTAACTCGTACTGATATGCATATCAGAGCAACATTTTGGAAATCAAAATAAATCCATGATGGTGCACGAGGAATCATTCACATATCTTGATTATTAGCACTTGTTTAATTCTTTAATGATAAACTAAATGAGATCTAACAAGATTTCAATCTTACTTATTTGGATCCGTTCACTAGTGTTTGGATGTGATAAATCCAAATTCAAGTTACATGACTATATATAAGCTAGCGTGATCATATAATCATAGAACCATAGAGCTGGAAGAGACCGCAGAAGGCCATCAAGTCCAGCCACCTGCTCTAGGCAGGACCATCCCAACTAAATCAACCCAGCCAGGGTTTTGTCAAGCCGAGACTTAAACACCTCTAGGGATGGAGACTCCACTGCTTCCCTAGGTAACCCATTCCAGTGCTTCACCACCCTCCTAGTGAAATAGTTTTTCCTAATATCCAACCTGGACCTCTCCCACCACAACTTGAGACCATTGCTTCTTGTTCTACCATCTGTCACTACTGAGACCAGCCTCTCTCCGTCCTCTTTGGAAGCTCCCTTCAGGAAGTTGAAGGCTACTATCAAATCCCCCCCTCACTCTTCGCTTCTGCAGACTAAACAGACCCAACTCCCTCAGCCTCTCCTCATAAGTCATATACTTTAGCCCCCTAATCATTTTGGTTGCCCTCCACTGGACCCTCTCCCATGGGTCCACATCCTTTTTGTAGTGGGGGGCCCAGAACTGGACACAATACTCCAGATCAAAAACAGTTAATAGATGGAAGGACTGCAGACTGCTAGCTTATAGAGCAGTGGTCCCCAACCTTTAGAGGCTCCCGGGGGGGTGGGGCCACTAGTCTGGGGGCACACCAGGAGACGGGGATGCCCTTGCACCCGGCGCCGGCATATGCCTCAGGGCTGGGGCTGGGGCAGCCCGAGCACCTTGCGCCCGGGGCCGAGGCCGCCCAAGCGCCTTGTGCCGTGGGCCCGGGGCTGGTGCCGCC